GCATCCGTATGTGGGAGTATGGGGTGGGTATAGAGGGGTGTATGTGTAGGGTGCCCTGGGTCGTGGGGAATGGGGTGCCATGAGGGAGGTGTGTTTTATGTGATGCCTTACGCAGAGGTGTAGGGCGGGTGTATTGGGGTCGTGTCTGAGGGATGTCCCCAGCCGTCCGGGGGCACAGGGAGGTGCAGCGGGTGGAGGGGTGGCAGGGGAGATGTGGGGCTGTAGCTGTGTGGGGCACCCAGTGTAGGGGTATGCAAGTACGTAGGGGTGCTTGGGGAAAGTGGGGTGCCCTGGGGATGTGCTGGGGCAAAGATGAGTCGTTTTGTTTTGTTTTTTTAAGCACCCTGCACAGGAGTGTGGGGGTTACATGGGAGGATGGGGGAGATGGGTACACAGGACATGTTCATACGGAGCACCCTGTGCAGGGATACAGGGGGGGCTGTAGGAGGGTGATCAGGGGCCAGATGTACTTCTGGGGAGCACCTCTGTATGGGGTGGTGTATAGGGGTGCCAGGGAGGGGAGCGTATATTACCCCCCCGTAAGGGCTGCCCTGCAGAGGGGTGTGGGTGTCTGCAGGGATCCCCTGAGGAGGATGGGGAGCGCTGCACTAGGAGAGAGATGTGGATGGGGTGCTTCGGAGAGGCACAGGGTAAATCGGGGTGCGGTGGCTGGATGGGGAGGGGTGTGAGGTGCGTCTGTATGGGGTGTATTCTGGGGTGCACGCTTAGGGAGCGGGGTGCCTTGGTGGGGTTTGTGTAGGATCCGCAGGGCTGCAGATGCCCAGGTGGGTACATGACGTGTTTGGGGACGGGTACTGTGCTGAGGTGGCAGGACCATGTCCCCGTGGCTCCATCGTGAAGTTTGCCTGGTGTTACTGGGGCCTCGCTGGTGACCCCGGAGCTGGTGTCAGGGTACGCGGGGGAATGGGAGGGTTCCTGTCCTTCACCTCCCTGCCTCTGCTCCCAGTCGCCGTGTCGGTGCCAAAGAAGAAGCGAAGGATGAAGGAGCTGAACAAGAAGGAGGCAGTAGGCGATTTGCTGGATGCCTTTAAAGAGGTGAGTGTCCCAGGGGTGTCCGGGGTCACCCTGTGTCCTGTCTCCTCCTGTGATGAACTCTGCTTTGTGCCATCGTGTCTGGGCCACTGATGCTCCGTGATGGTAATGAGGATCTGAGGGGGGGGCGGATGCCTGGGTGCGTGGTGGAGGGGGCAGGACCAGGCTCGCGGGGTGACTGCTGTCCTCGTCCCTCCCGATGCAGTCTCAGATCAGCGACAGTGCCTCGGAGGTGGAGAACAAGCCCCCTGCGTCTGCCCCTGCCCGCGAAGTGGAGGACGCGGCCCCCGTCCGTCCACAGGAAGAGTCGGAGGAGACGTGGGAGGAGAAGGAGGACAAGCTGGCCCCGGAGAAGGGCAAGGCTGCCGACCAGAAGTACCGCTACAAGGAAGGTGAGCTGTGCCTTGGCTCTGCTGGGAGCCACCACCTCTGGACCCAGCGGTGGGGAGGGTGGGGGTGACATGGTGCAGCTGTCCTAAACCTCACGCTTTCCTCCCATCTTGTCCCTGAGCCTGGCATGGGGTGGGGGACAGAGGCCCCAGCGCGAGGGTCCTGGCAGGAGCAGGGAGCTGGTGGCATCAGGCTTTCTGTCTAAGCAAGCAGCGTTGTGCTTATGGCGTACCAGGCTGGGGCAGCTCTATGGTTGTCTACATCCTACCTCGCTGGTCCCTGGGTGGGCCCAGACCTGCCGCAGCTTGGGGTGGAGGATATGGGACAGGTCACATCAGGGTCTCCCTCTTGTCCCCCCACTGCAGAGCAATGGAAGCCGCTGAACCCCGAGGAGAAGAAGCGATATGACCGGGAGTTCCTGCTGGGCTTCCAGTTCATCTTTGCCAGCATGCAGAAACCTGAGGGGCTGCCCCAGATCACGGACGTGGTGCTGGACAAGGTCGGTGCGGCCCTGGAAATTGGTGGAGTGTGGGTGGTGCCCAGGTGGGGGTCTGGCTCCTCTTTGTGCCTTGTCAAGGCAGGGCAGGGACTTACCTGCTGTGCTCGGGGTCCTGTTGCAGCATCTGCAACGAGCCTTGAGCCTGGGGTCAGTGTGTGGGGGCACCTCTGGGGCCTTCTTTCCAGTTCCTTGTCCCGGCACTGAGGCTGGGGGATGGATCCATCCCGCTCCTCTGCCCCCGGGCATCCTCAGCCCTGTGTACCTTCGCAGGCCAACAAGACCCCACTGCGGGCGCTCGACCCCATCCGCCTCAGCGGCATGAACTGCAGCCCTGACTTCACCCCCTCCTTTGCCAACCTTGGCCGGCCCGTCATGGGCAACCGGGGCCTGGTGAGTATCTCCTCACTTCACCCACGCCGTCCCCCTCCGCCTCTCCGTGATGATCAAGCCTTCGAGCCGCTGTGTCTGGGCCACTGATGTCCATGATGGAGCTGAGGATCTGAGCAGGCGGATGGGGACACCCTGGGAGCTGGCCCGGCTGGTCCCAGAGCAAAGAGCTGAGTTTCTTCTTCCTGTGTCAGCCCTCGGGGTTGGGTCCCCGCCGCTCCCAGCAGAGCCAGAGGAAGGAGCCCCGCAAAATCATTGCCACTGTGTCCCTCAACGAGGATGTCAAGCTGAACAAGGCCGAGAAGGCCTGGAAACCCAGCAGCAAGCGTGCCTCCGAGGAGGAGGATCCTGAGAACATCAAGACGCAGGTGGGAGCTGGGACAGGCGGTGGGAGGGCAGGGAGGGGATGTGCCAGGCTCTCGCTGACCCTTCTGTCCTTGCAGGAACTGCTCCGCCGCGTCCGCAGCATCCTCAACAAGCTGACGCCCCAGATGTTCCAGCAGCTGATGAAGCAGGTGATGGAGTTGTCCATCGACACGGAGGAGCGGCTCAAGGGTGTCATCGACCTCGTCTTCGAGAAGGCCATCTCGGAGCCAAACTTCTCTGTTGCCTATGCTAACATGTGCCGTTGCCTTATGGGGGTGAGCAGGAGCTGGGGGATCTCCTGCCGAGCTGGCAGGGGTTTGTTCCGGGGCCTCGGCTGAGCTCAGCAGGGTGCAGGTCCTTCCGTGTGGGTTGGGGAAACTGGGGCGTGTGGATGGAGGACCAAGTCCAGAGTTTTAGCAGGGCATCACCGAGGGTGCAGGGTAGCTCTTCCCTGGTTCGAGCAGTGCCTGGGCCTTAGCTGGCCAGCTTTTGGGGGAGACATGACTCATGCTCCTTGCCTGGGTTGTACTTTTCCCTGCAGCTCAAAGTGCCCACAACAGACAAGCCCGCGGTGACTGTGAACTTCCGCAAGCTGCTGCTCAACCGCTGCCAGAAGGAGTTTGAGAAGGACAAGGATGACGACGAGATCTTTGAGAAGCGGCAGAAGGAGATGGACGATGCCAGTGCTGTGAGTTGGGGTGGGAGGCTGCGGCTGAGGGCTGGTGTGGGCATCCTCGGGGTGCCTCTGGGCTCTGAGCTGCCCTGCTGTTGCCCTCCCTGCAGCCCGAGGAGAAGGCGCGCATGAAGGACGAGCTGGAGGAGGCGCGGGACAAGGCCCGCCGGCGATCTCTGGGCAACATCAAGTTCATCGGAGAGCTCTTCAAACTGAAGATGTTGACGGAGGCCATCATGCATGACTGTGTGGTGAAGCTGCTCAAAAACCACGATGAGGAGTCTCTTGAGTGCCTTTGCCGCCTGCTTACCACCATTGGCAAGGACTTGGACTTTGAGAAGGCCAAGGTACCCCTTGCCCTGCCCTGTCTTGCCCTGCCCTTGCCTTTGGGAGGGATGTGACCGTGACTCTGTCCCTCTGTAGCCCAGGATGGACCAGTACTTCAATCAGATGGAGAAGATCATCAAAGAGAAGAAGACATCATCCCGAATCCGTTTCATGCTGCAGGATGTGATTGACCTCAGACAGGTAAGGTGCATGGCCTGCTATTGCCCGGGGACTGTCCTCTGTCCCCTGTTTGGTCCCATGGAGCTGCTGGCCTGTGTCCTCTGAGTGCCAGCAGTCCCTGCATCCCTGGGAGGGGAGAGGTGGGTATGTAAGCTGTTGCCAGCCCCAGAGACACCATGCTAGCCCCCAGCCCTTGGTTAGCATGGTAGTGGTAGTGGGCACACAGTAACCGGCGGCTGTTTAATGCAGGGGGGCTCTGGAAACTGAGCCCTTTTGTGCCAAAAGCTGCCACAGCACACGGGGAGCTGTGATGGCCAAGGCAGGAGACCGGTCTGAGGCTTTGAGGGTGGCATGGCTGGGAAGGGGGAATGTCTCTGCCTCCGTCCTTCAGCCAGCTCAGTGCCCTCTTCCCTCCTTCCCTGCCCTCTGCAGAATAGCTGGGTGCCGCGGCGAGGAGACCAGGGCCCCAAAACCATCGACCAGATCCACAAGGAAGCAGAGATGGAGGAGCATCGGGAACACATCAAAGTGCAGCAGCTCATGTCAAAGGACAAGAGGAGAGGACCCCCCGGGCCATCCTCCAGCGGTGAGTGCCTGGGCTTGGAGGCACCTGAGGCTGCCAGGGGTGGGTTGCTCCTGCTGGGCACCGCTCGAGGCCGGGCTGCGCCTTATGTCTGTCCCCCTTGTGCCCAGGTGGGCGCGGGAGCCTGGTTGCAGATGATGGCTGGAACACGGTGCCCATTAGCAAGGGCAACCGGCCCATTGACACCAGCCGGCTAACGAAGATCACCAAGGTGAGGCTGGGGGTGCAGCATGGGCAGCCGAGTCGGCTGCCTGGCCCGGATCCTGCCTCGGTGTGGGGTTCAGAGCTGACTCTGTCTCTCCACCTGCAGCCTGGATCCATCGACTCCAACAACCAACTCTTTGCGCCGGGCGGGCGGCTGAGCTGGGGCAAAGGCAGCAGCGGAGGGTCTGGCGCGAAGCCTGCAGATTCAGGTGGGCAGCGTGGGGCTGGCTGGGTGCTGTTGGACGGGATGGGAGGGGGGATCCTTCCCCCGGCGGTTCCTGTACCGGGGAGGTGCCGAACTCTGAGACACCCCTCTTTTCACACCCAGCATCTGATTCAGGGCGACCAGCCACGAGCACCTTGAACCGCTTCTCAGCACTCCAGCAGTCGACCCCTGCCGAGAGCCTGGAGTCCCGCCGTGTGGTGCAGAGGTGAGGGGCCAGCCCTGCCTTGGCGTGTGGGTGTGTTGGTCTGCAGCCCGGGGAGGAACCCCCCGAATCGGGCAGTGGTTGGTCAATACATAGGCAAACGTATGGCATCTGGGCTGGAATAATCCCCTGTGGCAGGACAGGGCCTCGGGAGGGCTCGGAGTCAGTGGTGAGTCCTTGCGGCAAAGAAGGCTGACCCCACCCTGGGCATCCTCCCCACTGTTCGGCACTTGGGGGACCACACCTGGGTGCTGGGTCCGGTCTAGGGGTCCTGGTACCAGATGGACATTGATGGGCTGGAGGGAGTCCCATGGAGGCTGGAGCACGAGGTCCCCAAGGAGAGCTGGAGTTGGGTTTGTTCAGGAGAAGAGGAAAACAAAGGGGGATCTCACCACCGTCTGCGGCAGGGGGAAGGTGTGGGCAGGATGGGGCCAGGCTCTGCGGAGCCATGCCAAGGGACAGAGCAGAAGGCAAAGGGCACGAGTTGGAACAGGGGAGAAACAGGGAAAAGTATTTTCCCCTGAGGGCGGTCAAGTGCTAGAAGAGGCCCTGGAAAGGGCTGGGATTGGAGTGGGTCAGCCTTGCCTCACAGAGCTCTGCAGTCTGGGGTCAGGGAGGGTGGCGATGGGCTCTTCATGCTGTGTTCGTCCTCCTCCCACCCAGGAGCAGCTCCAGCCGCGACAGGTCAGAGAAGGCTGGGGACAGAGGGGACCGGGAGTCGCGTTCGGAGAAGGGCAGCGACCGCCTGGAGCGTCCTGACCGGGGGGAGCGGGCAGACAGGAACAGGTCTGCCCTCACCAAGAGGAGCTTCAGCAAAGAGACAGAGGACAGGAGCCGAGAACGGGAGAAGCAGGGCGGCCCCGAGGCCGTGCGCAAGGCTGCTAGCATGACGGAGGAACGGGACAGGAGCCGAGAGACCAGTGAGCTGGGGAGGAGCGGTGTCCTGGGGGGTCTGGCTGCAGCCTGGGGCTCTACCTGTCCTAGGCGGTGCCTGATCCTTGCTCTCTCCTCGCAGTTAAGCAAGAACCAGCACCTTCTGCAGCATCCCCCAAGCCCGCGCTGTCGGAAGAAGAGCTGGAGAAGAAATCCAAGGCGATCATAGAGGAATACCTGCACATCAATGACATGAAGGTGAGAGGAGGGGGTGGCCAGGCACAGCACCATACGGCCCCCGTAACACGCCATCTGCTTCCCTGGGTGGTAGCACTTGGGCAGGGTGCCGGTGGTGCCTGGATGAGGAAGTGGGATGAGGAAGTGGGGAGCCAGGGCTGGCCGTGGGGCAGTATTGACCCCCCTTTTCCCCGCAGGAGGCCCTGCAGTGCGTGCAGGAGCTGGGCAGCCCCTCCTCGCTCTACATCTTTGTGCAGAACGGCATCGAGTCCACGCTGGAGAGGAGCACCATCTCCCGCGAGCACATGGGGGTCCTGTTGTGCCAGCTGGTGAAGGCAGGCACGCTCTCCAAGGAGCAGTACTACAAAGGGTGAGGGGCTGGGGCAGCCTGGCCCTGAGCTGGTATTTGCCCGGCTTTGAATTTGGCCCTGCCTTGAGCGTGGCTCATCACTGAGACCTCCCGAGGTCTCTCCCAGGCAAGGGCACGGGGGCTGCTGGGTCCCAACGGCCCCCCTCTGCCCTGCAGGCTACGGGAGATCCTGGAGGTCGCCGAAGACATGGAGATCGACATCCCACACATCTGGCTGTACCTGGCTGAGCTCATCACCCCCATCCTGCAAGAGGAAGGCATTCCCATGGACGAGCTGTTCAGGTGAGGGCCGTGCCCCTCTGCGGGGCTGCCACGGGGTCCCAGGGGGCCTCCTGGGGACAGGTACCTCAACCAGGTCTCTTGTGCCCTGCAGGGAGATAACAAAGCCCCTGGTGCCCATTGGGAAGGCCACCACGCTGCTGGTCGAGGTGCTGGGCTTGTTGTGCAAGGGCATGGTAAGTGCGTGGGGCTTACGTAGCTGCCGGCCGCTGCCTCGGGGACTGGCAGCCTGCTCGGGGGGGGGCAGGTTGGCATGCGGGGATTGAACCCCTTTGCCACCAGAGGGGATGGCAGGCGGCATCCCTTGCTGTGTCTGGGTTATGGGGGTAGCATGGTCAAGCCACAGTATCCCCCTCCCTGGAGATGGAGGGCGTGGGGTGCTGATGCTGACTGTTTGTCTGTCCTGCAGAGCCAGAAGACTGCAGGCAAGTTGTGGCGGGACGGGGGCCTGAGCTGGAAGGAATTCCTGCCCGAGGACCAGGATGTCAACAAATTTGTCACAGAGCAGGTGGGAGCTCAGCGGCGGCGAGGGGCAGAGACGGGCCGTGGGGGGACCCTGGAGGGGTCTTGCTGCTGGGAGTGTGGTGTTCCCCTGTGCTGCCTTTAGCAGCTCGTCTCTGCCTGCTCCCCCCGAAATTCGGGTACACGATGGGGGACAGCTCGGACACGCAAAGCCGCAAGGAGCTGACCTCAGAGGAGCTGTGCAAGCAAATGGACAAACTGCTGAAGGAGAACCCGAACAACCAAAGAATACATGACTGGATCGAGGTGAGGGTGTGAACGCAGCGCCCACGGGTCCGGGGGCTCCCTCCCGGCTCCCTCCCCATCTCACAGCCCCTCTACCCTCCCTCCTCCAGGCCAACTTGAGCGAGCAGCAGGTCTCGTCTAACACATTTATCAGGGCCCTGATGACATCTGTGTGCCACTCGGAGTCCCGGGGTGGGGCGGGGGCGGGGGGGGTTCTCCCTGCCCACGCCGCCCCCCTCTCACGCCCCATCTCCTGCAGTCGAGAACCCCTACCGCGTGGATGCCCTGGTCATCCGCAACCAAGCCAAGCTGCTGCAGAAGTACCTGCGGGATGAGCAGAAAGAGCTCCAGGCGCTCTATGCCCTGCAAGCCTTGGTGGTGAAGTTGGACCAGCCTCCTAGTGAGTGTTGCGGGACGGGTGGGCTGAGGAGGGGGGTGGTAGGCACGTCCCCACCCCAGCAGGGTGGCTGGTGGCTGGGGAATGGCAGGGGCCCCCCTTTGTCCTCCCCCTAGACTTGCTGCGGATGTTCTTTGACGCCCTCTACGATGAGGATGTCATCAAGGAGGAGGCTTTCTACAAGTGGGAGTCCAGCAAGGACCCGGCTGAGCAGCAGGGCAAAGGGGTGGCTCTCAAATCGGTGACGGCCTTTTTCACCTGGCTCCGGGA